TAATTTAACCAACACAAGTTCACTACCAAGCTAAACCACTACAAATTAGTAAAGCTTGCTCTCCCAGGTAGTAACAGTATTGATGATGATATACCGGAATTTAATGTTTGCCCTCCTACTCGTCCATTACCAATTTATTCATCTGATCATTCAACTAATAATTCTTTTAGTCATTCATTTTACTTCATAATCATCATCGTAATAATGATGATTATAGTAATAGCAATGATGATGATGATGAAAGTTTTCATTCAGTAAATATTAATGAATATGATGTTAATAGTATTCATAGTTCTAATAGTTCTATCGGTAAAGCTATATAATTATTAATATTAGATATATTTATTTTCTTTTTTTTTGGACAATGGTTTTTCCTTTTTTTTTATAGTTCATTCTTTAGAATATTATTATTATTTATCATTTCATCATTTTTTCATATATTATTCATTATATAATTCGCACATTCTCATTATTTTCTCATAGCATTTTTATATACATTTTATAAATATATATCATTTCACTTCTAGCATTACATTTTGTATTCTATTTACTAATTTATATATATAGCATTTTTTTCTTTCTTTTCTTCTTTCTTTGCAAAATTTTCTTTCATTTTCAAAGTTTCTTAACATGTATTGTTCATGTGTTTTAAAAAAAAATTAATTATAAAATCAAAAAAGTGCGTTATCTAAAATGTAAATGTTTAAATATTTATACAGTATATCTCGTATATTCATCCTACTGTTAAATATTTAATTTCCGTGTAATATCAAATTTGAAATTATCGATAATTTTTCTCAATAATTTCGACCAATCAAAACAGATATATATTATATTTCTTTCTTTGCTTACTTTATTTATTATGTATTTCTTTTGAATTATTTTTTAGATCATTTTTTTTTGTTACATATTATCTTCAACAGATTGAAAAGTAATAAGTTATTAATGTTTATTAGAATAAATTGTATATTTGTTATATTTTAAATGATTAAACTTTGATAATAAAAATAATAGTAAAATTTGCTAAAAATTTCTTTGATCTGAATAAAAATTTTTATGTCACCTGTATACTTGGTTATATGTCATAAACTCATGTGATTTTATTTATAATAAGTGATATATTAATATATAAAAATGAAAAAATATAAATATAAAAATATTAACATATTTTAAACATGTAATAATATTTTTATATAAATAAGCAATTTGAAATATTATATGAAAATGAAAATATAAATTTAAAAATATTAATATTTTTAAACACATAATAGATGTAAATAAATAATTTGAAATATTTAATAAATTTAGATTAAAATTTTAATCTACATAATATAATAAACAAATAATTTTGTAAATAAACCAATTTATAGAAATAAACAATTTTACATAAAAAACTGATTTATGTAAATAAACTAATTTAAATAAACAATAGGAATTATTTAGTTATAGATACATCCTGATTCCCCTATTCTTCATTTTTTCAAAAATCAAAACTTAAGATATCTTTCTTATTTTTTGAAAAAAAACAAATTTTCTAAACAATAAAAATTTTCAAAAATCTTCAAAATAGTTTAAATTATTAAACCTTTAATAAATCTTTTGAAGAATACAAAGTTTTTCAATTGTTTGAAAAAGTAAATAATTAAATTTATCTTTCATTTTTCTTTATCATCAGAAAATTTGATTAGGTGTAAATTTATGGAAATATTACATGACCTATAGAAATTTACATCTAAAAAATTTAATTTTTAATTTCAGCTGAGATTTAAGTAACAGGGAGCAATTTTCTACTAAAATATTTCTAGAATAGATCAAAAGCTCTTGTTTTGGCTACAAGATGATATGTGTTTTATTATTGTAGTATCGATATTTGCAAAAAAATTCGTATTTAAAATAAATATCTGTGAAAATTTATGCTGTAAATTTTCATGATTCTGCTGGAAATTTTTGTAACATAATAAAATATTTCCAGCAGAATTACAAAATTTATGGCATAAATTTTCACGGATGTTCAACTTTAAACACGAATTTTTCCACGAATATTGATGTCACATTAATAAAACATATATCATCTTGTATCCAAGAACAAGAACTTTCGATCTATTATAGAAATACCTTAGTAGAAAATTACTTCCTGTCACTTAAATCTCAGCTGAATTTAAAAAATTAAATTTTTTAAGTATAAATTTCTGTAGGTTATGTAATATATTAAATTTCCTGATAACATAATTAAATAGGATTTTGTCTTTTGTCACATGGATAACGTGACTATACGTGTTGCCCAAATCCCAAATCATTTGGGATTTGGGATGCCAAAATTCCAAATTACTAGTATTTGGGATTTGGGATTTGGGATTTCGGCAAAAAATACTAATCATAATTTGGGATTTGAGATTTGGGATTTTGGCATTTGGAATTTCGGCATTTGAATTTTGAATTTGGGTGGCAGGTATAAGCGTGACTAAATTTTATTGGTTAAAATTTTTGTATCTCTGATTTTATAATTTCATGAATTATTTTATTTAATGTACTTTAAAATCAAATAAATAAACTGTACAGAATGTAAATATGAATTTATTTGTTTTTTTTAAACAACCTTTACTTTTTAAAGAAACTTTTTTAAAATTTTCACTTCACTTAATAATGAATAGTTTAAATGAAAATTTTTTGCTTCTTAATAATATATGTAAAGATAGCTTTTTAATATCTAATAAAAATTTTTTATCTTGTGACAGTATAAATGAAAACAATTATAATAAATTAACTGAAACACTTTTATATAAAGGAATGTTATTTAATTCATGACAAGAAACCTTTAATACTATTGAAAATTGGGCAAAAATATAAGAATTTAACATTGTATATAATCATGTTATATGAAATTCTGATGGAACATTCTGTAAACGTACTGTACAATATGAACATCAAGGTGATTATAGAACAAAATTCAATACAACAACAAAACATATAGGATGTATTTGGCATATTAATCTTTCAGAACTTTCTTTAAATAATCCTTCTAAACATATTTATATTACTACATTACATAATATTTATTCATATTATCTTAATTCAAATATTATTCAATTTGGAGATAACAAACAATTATCTTTTGAAATTATAAAAGAAATTGAATTCCTTACAATTAAATATCAAATGGCTACAACTATACAATATAAATATTTTGAAGTAAAATTTTCAGGTCAAACAATCTATAATAATAATTTATATAAAGCAATACAAAATTTTCAATTACAAAATAAAAATCATAGTAATGATGTAGCTAAGTTATATACAAAATTATTCGAATTATCATTAGATAATCCAATATAGAAAGTAGTGATCAAATTTGATGATAACAATACTCTTACTTATTTATTTTGGATGACACCTTCTCAACTAGAACTTTGATATCAATTTTCAGATATTGTAATATAAGATATAACATGTAAAACCAATAGATATGATATAGCTTTAAGTTTATTCATTATTATTGATGAAAACCAGAATATAAGACTTGTTACGCAAGCATTATTAATTGATGAAACTAAAGAATTACATGAATGAACATTTAATCAAATTAATTTAGTAACAGATAATTTATATCCTTGTGTAATTATGACAGATGCAGATCCAGCAGTACATGCTGCAATTAGATCAACTTTTCTTACAACTTATCCAATGTATTGTACTTTTCATATTAGTCAAAATTTAATAAAAAAACTTCAAAAACTTCTTGAAAAAAATTTTCAAGAATTTTCATTAAAATTTTATATAGTACATAATACATTATACAAACCTTTCTTCAAATCAAAATGGAAAGATTTAATCAATAAATATTCTAAAGTACAACAATATTTAAATACTCTTTATAACACAAAAGAAGCATGAGCTCATCCATGGATATATAGACAATTTACTGTAGAACTTCATGCATCTTCTCCTGTAGAAAGTTTAAATGTATGAATTAAAAATCATATTTTTAATTCAAATATTTCTTTATGTAAACTTACTAATGTAATAGAGAAAAAACAATTATCAGAAGATAGAAATCATCAACTTATTTTATGGATAGTTACAATTCCTTGTATATTTACTTAAGTCTCTACATCAGCTTTTATGTTTACATCTATTGATAAAAAACTAGAGGAATATTTCTTTTGCTATATTGGATCTTCAAAAAAGTGAAATTTATCAATGTATTTTCTATGATGCTTTACAAGTTAATCAAAAGTAATTAATGAATTTGATCAGGTATGAATTATTATATAATATATTATACATAAAATTTTATAATGTCTAACTTAATATTATTGATTTTATAGTATAATCTTTTATCTGATCAATATTTGGAAGATGTTCCGGATGCACATCAAATTACTGCTTCTTGCATAATTTCGGATATTAATAGGTATCAAATTACTTCCATGTGAACTGTATCTGTTAAAAACAAGCTTGTAGAAAAATATTTTATTATTTTATTATCTAATGGTTCACATCATTATTCTTATTTATCACTAACTAATCAGGAAATAATTTGTAGACATTATTTTCAAATAGTGCTTCGTACACCCATAATTAAATTTCACTTAAGACTTATTCCCTCATGGTGATATAAAAAAAATAAGAATCTCAGTAAAAAATTTTTTTTAGTTGTCAACAAATTTGAAAATGAAAATATAGACCTCATTCCTCAATCTAAAGTTTCATTTCTAACTGCAATCGATTAAGCAAATTTACAAGATTCTATTATTCTACATGAGCGTCTTACTGATATATAATTATATGGTAAAATTTCTGGTTTGGTACATAAAGTTACTATGAAGGTTACGAGAAAAAAAGATATGAGAATAATTCATATTTTGGAAAATTATTTAAAAGAGGAAGAACAAAATGAAGATTTCATTAAAAATGTAGATAATATTGAAATAGAAGATTATAAGATGGATAAGGAAAATCAATCTCCAATTATAAAAAATTCCAGTAGACAAACTAAACTAAAAGATATACGTGTTGCCCAAATCCCAAATTATTTGGGATTTGGGATGCCAAAATCCCAAATTACTAGTATTTGGGATTTGGGATTTGGGATTTTGGCAAAAAATACT